AACCATCAACACTCATGGAAGCAGCAGTCAAGAAATCAAACAACATATTGCATTAGGCAAATCTGCCCAACACCTCTTTAAAGGGTTGAAGAGCAAAGAGGTCAGTTTCAGGTCCAAGGTGCACCTAACCCAAAGCTATGGTATTTTCAATAATAATAGATATTTTCAATAACCTCATAGGCATGCAAAAGTTGGACAATGAATAAGGAAGACCATAGATGAATTGATACATTTGAGTTATGGTGCTGGAGGAGAATATTGAAAGTACCATGGACTGTTAGAACAAATAGATCTGTGTTGGAAGAAATAAAACAAGAGGGCTCCTTGGAAGTCAGGATGGCCAGACTTCATCGCTCATACTTCAGACATACTACCAGGAGGGACCAGTCACCAGAGAAAGATACCATGTTTGGTAAAGTGGAGGGTCAGAGAAAAAGAGGAAGACCCCCATAAGATGGACTGGCACCACGGTGGCAGCAATGGACCTGGGTGTAGCAATGACTGTGAGGTTGACCCAGGACCAGGCAATGTTGCATTCTGTTGTGCATAGGGTCTCTGTGAGTCGGTACCGACTTGATGGCACCTAACAACAACTATGATGCATGTTACAGGATGGATGAGTCTTGAAAACATGCTAAGTGAAATAAGCCAGACAGAAAAGGTCACATATTGTATGATTCTATTTATATGAAATATCCAGAACAAGCAAATCCATAGAACAGAAAGAAAACTAGTGGTTTCCAAAAGGGGGAAAGGAAGTAACTCCTTAATGGATATAAGGTTTCTATTTAGGGTGTTGAAAATATTCTGGAATTAGATATTGGTAATGGTTGCACATAGGAACTCTGATAGCGTAGTAGTTATGAATCAGGCTGCTAACCTCAAGGTCAGCAGTTTGAAACTACCAGCTGTTCCGTGGGAGAAAGATGAGGCGTTCTGCTCCCATAAAGATTGACAGCTTTGGAAACCCTATGTAGAGTCATATGACTTGGAACCGACTCCACGGTACTTAACAACAACAACAACAATGGTTGCACAACACTGTGAATGTACTAAGTCATTGAATTATATGTGCTTTAAAGAGGTTAAGGACTCCTGGTGTGGCACTGTAGGGTCAGCACTGGACTGCGAACCACAAGGTTGGTGGTTCAAATCCACCAGCTCTCCTCAGAAACCCTGTACAGGGTCACTATGAGTCAGAATAGACTGGACAGAATTTGAACAACAACAATAAAGAGGTTAAATGGTAAATTTTATGTCAATAAAAACTTACTAGGAGAAAATATAAGTTTATAATATTGACACAGGGCAAGTCTTTCTGAGCATAATATCAAAGGCAAAAACCAGAAATTACTGTTATTAAGTGCTGTCGAGTTGGTTCCAACTCATAGCAACCATAGTAGGGTTTTTGAAGCTTCAAATCTTCACAGAAGCAGAAAGCTTCATCTTTCTCCCGCTGAGTGGATGATGGGCTTGAACCACGGACCTGTGGTTCCCAGTCCAGTGCTTATCATATGGAACCATTGCACCCCTAGAAAAGAAATGACTACATAAAAAAATGAACAATGCATCCAAAAAAATAAGCAATTCAAATGATAAATGACAGAGAAAAAATATTCGCGACATATCTTTTATAATGAAAATTTGTAAAGGGCTAATAGACACTCTGGAGTCCTGGTGTGGCCCTATAGGATAAGCACTGGACTGCTCAGTGCAAGGTCGGCAGTTCAAGCCCACAAGTCACTCCTTGGAAATCCTATAGAGTGTTGCTATAAGTCAGAACTGACTCAATGGCACACAACAACAATACACATTCTAATAGAAAATGGTTAAACTAATAGAAACCCATTGTTGTTGCTGCTGTTAGGTGCCATCGAGTCGGTACCGACTCAGAGCAACCTTACGCACAGAAGAACGAAACACTGCCCAATCCTGGGTCAATCTCACTATTGTTGCCACGCTTGAGTCCATCGATGCTGCCACTTGGTCAATCCATCTCATTGGGAGTCTTCCTCTTTTTCTCTGACCCTCTACCTTACCAAACATGATATCCTTGTTTGGTAAGGATATCCAGCAAGTGGTCCTCCTGACAATATGTCCGAAGTATTAAAGACAAAGTTTGGCCATCTTGGCCTCCAAGGAGCACTCTGGCTGCACTTCTTCCAACACGGATCTGTTTGTTCTTTTGGCAGCCCATGGCACTTTCAATATTTTCCTCCAACATCATAACTCAAAAGCATCCTTATTCACTGTCCAGCTTCCGCATGTATATGAAGTTATTGAAAATACCATGGCTTGGGTCAGGCGCACCTTAGCCCTCAAGCTGATGTCTTTGCTCTTCAACACTTTAAAAAGGTCTTGTGCAGCAGATTTGCCTAATGCAATATGTCGTTTGATTTCTTGACTGCTGCTTCCGTGAGTGTTGATAGTTGATCCAAGAAGAATGAAGTCCTTGAAACTTCAATCTTTTCTCTGTTGATAAGAATGTTGTTTATTGGTCTAGTTGTGAGGATTTTTGTTTTATTGACATTGAGATGTAATCCATACCAAAGGCTGTGCTCTTTGATCTTCATCAGTAAATGTTTTAAGTCCTCTTCACTTTCAGTAAGCAAGGTTGTATCATCTGCATATCACAGGTTGTTAATGAGTCTTCATCCAATCCTGATGCCACCTTTTTCTTCATATAACCCAGTTTCTCAGATTATTTGCTCAGCACACAGTTTGAGTAAATATGGTGAAAGAATACAACCTTGTCGCACACCTTTCTTAATTTTAAACCATTCAGTGTTCCCATGTTCTGTTTGAACAACTGCTTCTTGGTTCAGGTACAGATGCCTCATGAGCACAATTAAGTGTTCCAGAATATTCATACTTCACAATGTTGTCCATAGCTTGTCATGATCCACACAATCAAAAGCCTTTGCTTGAAGTCCATAGATGGACCAAATTAGGAATCTTTCTGATTTATTACCAGGGTTGAAAAGGGACGTCATGAAATCAATTCAGATTATTTTATAGATAACCATCTAATAGATACTAATATGTTAGAAATATGAACTGAACTTCTAACTACAAAGTCAGCAGTTCAAACCTTCCAGTCACTTATCAGAAACCCTATACAGGGTCACTATGAGTTGGGGCCAACTGGACAGTACTTAGCAACAGCAGTAGCTGCAAAAAATGTTATTCTCTTTCCACCTTGTCCACTCAGGGGTGAGGCTTCTGCTCCTCCTTCGCGTCTTCCCCACCAGATCGCCCAGTGTGCTTACCACGGCTTTACTCACTGCGGCAGCTGGGCTCTTTGGAGCCAAGAAGGCATTCTGTCTTGTTCTTGCTGCCCAGCTTGCCAGTGCGTCCTCCATGAATTTGGAAGTCATACTGGCTGGTCTGATACCTAAGAAGCAGGCCAGATGAAGACCTTCAGTCAGCAACATGGCAAGGCAGCTGTGGGTCCAATCACTGTGGACACGATGCATTATGGCATGAGAAGCATGAAGGGACTAGCAGATAAACCATCAGTTCTTGATCCTAATGAGGGTATGTTTCCAAGGCTATATACCCCTGATTGCCAGAAACTGCTCCCCAAAGCTAAAGGGCTTATTTTGGCTGCTGGTAACTGGGCAGATCCCAACAGAGGAACAGGTATTATGGTTCTCAAAAGAGTGAGCAAAGAGGGCGGCTATGCCTTCCCATGTGGTCACTATGCTGGACAATTTTTTCACAAATTTACACCCCATGTTCCCCAGCTCAGCACAGCCATCATCGTCCTTAATAGTGAAAGTAATTTTGTCTGAGCACATACAGAGGGTATCAATCAAGCCAAGTACTGGGAGTTGATTTACAAAGACAGTATGGATCTGATTGCAAAGCTATCTTGTGCTGCAGCAAAGATTTACCGGAACCTTTACCAGGAGGGCAGCAGTATTGGAGTCACTGACACTACACTGGACTGGCCCCACAATTTCACCAACATGTTAGGCTATACTGATGTTCAGTTCACTGAACTCAAGTCATTGTACCTCACCATCCACAGTGACCATGAGGATGGCAAAGTAAGTACCCATACCAGTCATTTGGTGGGCAGTGCCCTTTCAAACCCATAACTGACCTTTGCAGACACCATGAGCAGGGTTCCTACACGGGTTGGCAAGTCAGAAAGTTCTTGTCTGGCTGAAGCAACTACAGAAGGAAGTTGGTAAAGATGTTGTCAGATAAGAAGTGACAAGACTCTTTCTGGAACACACTCAGCTCAGGTTGTCCCAGATGATGTATGGTCATGCAGTACTGAGGAAGACTGATCCAAGATATACCTGTTCTGAAACACCTGCCTAAGGATCCCATGTTTAAGCTGGTTGCTTGGCTGTATAAGATTGTGCCCAATGTCCTCTTAGAGCAGGGGAAAGCCAAGAATTTCTGGTCCAATACAGATGCTCACAGTACTATGCATGACAGAGATGAATTACTACACAGTTCTGTTTAGACTGTCACAAACACTGGGAATACTGGCACAGCTCATCTGGAGCTGAATCCTAAGCTTCCCTCTAGAAAGACCCAAATCCATGAGTACAGATGAGCTGATAAAGTTCGTGGATTCTAAGTCAGGGGAAAACTGGGGCCTGGGGAAAAGTGACTACCAGAAAATGAGGAAACTTAAAAAAAAAAAAAAAAAAAGGATACTCTTTATTTGAGGGGGCCTTTAAAGATTTAAGATTAAATTGTATCTGAGACACTGAAAAGAAGTTTGAAGTTAAATGTAAATGAAGACTTTAAAAAATAATGATCCTTTTCTTGCTTTAGTAGATTGTGGTAAGCATGACTATTATGATTTTTTTATTGTGGTAACAAATATAAAGTACAATTTGCCATTTCAGCCATGTTAAAGTATACAGTTGTTGTAAAGTCTACAGTTAAGCAGCACGGATTGCATGCACAGTGCAATGGTGAGGAGCCACCAGAAAGTAGGGTGGTTTTTAAATGGTTCTCTGAGGCATGGAATTGAGTTAGCAAACCTTTGATTCAAAAGCAGAACACCTTTCAGATGTTGGAGACCTCTCTAATTGGGCTGATTAGAAAATCTTGGGCAAATTCTTCAAGAGAGCTGCTGCTTCTTCATCTCCTTCCACAACATCACCTTCCTGAAGGGTAACATAAAAAACATATTAAGAGATGGCAGTTTAGCCTCAATATAAAAACTCAGTATAAAAACTCACCTACAAGTTTTACTAATGAGTGACATTTCCAAATAAAAGACCACACTTTCTGACATAGCACACAAGTTTATTTCCAGAAGGAATTGACCAGCATCATATTCAGTTTTCTCTTGGTGGCAATATTATAAAAAGGACATACATTGCTTCTAGTATCTGCATAGGACATAAACACTCAACTACCAGCCAAAAGGTTGATAATTCAAATCTACCCAGAGACATTTTAAAAGACAAACCTGGCAATTTGCTTACAAACAGTATAGCCTTGAAAACCCTATGGAGCAGTTCTAATCTGCACACATGGGGCCATGATAACTTGGAATCTACTTAACAACAACTAGTCTCTGCTCTGGTAGCGTAGTGGTTACGATCGGGCTGTGAACCTCAGGGTCAGCAGTTTGAAACTACCAGCTGTTCCACAGGAGAAAGATGAGGCTTTCTGCTCCTGTAAACATTTACAGCCTTGGAAACCCTGTACAAGGTCACTATGAGTCGGAAGCGACTCCACGGCACATAACAACAACAAGTCTCTGTTCAGAGGTAAAATGTGGAAAGCCACTTAGATTAGGGCTCAGTGTACAAGTGTTCAAAGTCAATTCTTCTCAGTTGCAGGGTGTCTTTGACAAATTCATTCCTTTCTCCATTTATATGGATGTTGTTTATTGGTCCAGTGGTGAGGATTTTTGTTTTCTTTACATTGAGGTGCAATCCATATCAAAGGCTGTGGTCTTTGATATTCATCAGTATTATAAATCCTCTTTGCTTTCAGCAAGCAAGATTGTATCATCTGCATATTGCAGGTTGTTAATGAGTCTTCCTCCAATCCTGAAGCCATGTTTTTCTTTATATAATCCAGTTTCTTAGATTATTTGCTCAGCATAAAGACTGAATAAGTATGGTAAAAGAATACAACCCTGGAGCACACCTTTCCTCAGTGTTCCTTGTTCTGTTCGAATAAATGCCTCTTGGTGTATGTACATGTTCCTCATGAGCACAAGTAAGTGTTCCAGAACACTCATTCTCCACAATGTTGGCCATAGCTTGTCATGATCTAAATAGTCAAAAGCCTTTGTGTAGTCAATAAAGCACAGGTGAACATCTTTCTGGTATTCTCTGCTTTCAGCCAAGATGCATCTGTCGTCAGAAATGATATCCCTCGTTCCACAGCTTCTTCTAAAAAATTTTAGGCTTAGAAAATAGGCTAAGTAAATAAAACTAGAATACTAAACTTATATACAACATACTCCGTTGTCTGCAGATAATTTTAAAGGGTTACAAGTTTATGTATAACTCTTGAACATCTTGTTAGTTTTACAATCACCTGAGACTGAGTTTGGTTCAGTATGGCTAACAAACTAAGGTAGCCTGAATATATTTACTTAGAAGAGAGATGCTCTTGGAAAGGCATTTGGTTCCGTTTGGTACAGGAGAGAAAAACTAACATGCTAAAGAAGTTATCTTTAAATTATGACTTGAAGTACTTTTTGTATTTTTTCAAGTTTTTAAATCTGTTATTGATTGTATAATAAGAACAAAGTTAAGATAATTTATTTTAAAAGTAAAAATTTCTCATTTCATATTCATACTGACAACACATGTGCATTTATCTCCTCAACCTTCAGAGACTTCATTAAAATGACAATAAAGGACTAAACAGTGAGATCATAAGGAAACTGAGAGGGCATCAGCTCTGGAAGAGTTGCTCTCATTTCCACACTATTGTTTTCCAAGTATTTCTCATATTTGTTGTTCCCTTTAATCTTTATAATGCAGACTGTATTATTAGCTACAGTTTGCAGTTTGGAAAACAATGACAATGAGATCATTAAATCGTCTTAAGATCACATCACTCTGAGTGGCAGAGGAAGAAGAGAACCTCTTTACCTAATTCCAGATGTTACCATACCACTTAGCCTTATCCTGGCTGTTAGCAGAATGGAGCTCTGTGCATGTAGACGCATCCGCCTTAAAAAAAAAAAAAAGTCCTACCCCATAAAATTTTGTGAGTCCTGATTTTTTCTGGCAGTTCAAGGCTAGCATAGACGTCACTGAAATATAGCTCCCCACCATGCTGAAACAAAGCAGTGGTAGTCCAAACAAACTTAAAGATTAGTCCCAGAGAGAAAGGAAGCGATGGAGGAATAAAATCAGTGCAATTAAAAAAAAAGTGCTTCAGCTGATCCTTTGTAAGCAAATAACAGCTCCCTCACTCGCCTGCCTGTTTATAATCAATAGCTAAGTGCCAAGATTTTTTTTTTTTTTTTTCCAGTTCTGCAAGATATTGCCCTGGACCACAAGTTTAGTTTGAACCCCAAGGTCAGCAGTTCAAACCCACCAGTCACTCCTCTGAAACACTTTAGCAGAGGTTGTTGTTGTTGTTGTTAAGTGCCATTGAGTCGATTCTCACCCATAGCGACCCTGTATAGGGTTTCCGAGGAGCAGCTGGTGAGCTTGAACTGCCGACCTTGCAGTTCAAACGGCTTTGCAGTCTGGCGCATTAACCCACAGCACCATACCAACTTTAGCAGAGGTTGTTGTTGTTGTTGTTAAGTGCCATTGAGTCGATTCTCACCCATAGCGACCCTGTATAGGGTTTCCGAGGAGCAGCTGGTGAGCTTGAACTGCCGACCTTGCAGTTCAAACGGCTTTGCAGTCTGGCGCATTAACCCACAGCACCACACCAGAGATAGGGAACCTTTTTTTCTGCCAAAATTTATAACACCATTCATGAGCCATACAAAATTATCAACTTAAAAATTAGCCTGCTATATTTGGTCAAATATTTAATAACTTACTCCTAATGGAGTCCTGGTGTGGTGCTGTGGGTTAATGCACTGGACTGCAAAGTTGGTTTGAAACACAAGGTTGGTAGTTCAAGCTCACCAGCCACTCCTCGAAAACCCTATACAGGGTCGCTATGGGTTGGAACTAACTCGATGGCACGTTAACAACAATGGAGTCCTAGAGTGGCACTTTGGTTTAATGCGCTGGACTACAAGGTTGCTTTGAATTGCAAGGCCAGTGGTTCAAACTCACCAGCCACTCCTTGGAAACCCTATAAAGGGTTGCTCTGAGTCAGTATCAACTCAGCACTTAACAACAACAAAAATGGAGTTCTGGTGTGACACTATGGGTTAATGCGCTGGACTGCAAAGTCACTTAAACCGCAATGTTGGTGGTTTCAAGCTCACCAGCCATTCCTCGGAAACCCTATACAAGGTCGCTATGGGTCAGAACTGACTCAACAGCACTTAACAACAGCAACATGGCCAGCAGGCCAAATGTTCCCCACCCCTGCTTTACAGGGTCACTATGAGTCAGAACCAACTCGATGGCACTTAACAACAACACCACTACCAAACGGAACCAAATGCCTTTCCAAGAGCATCTCTCTTCTAAGTAAATATATTCAGGCTACCTTAGTTTGTTAGCCATACTGAACCAAACTCAGTCTCAGGTGATTGTAAAACTAACAAGATGTTCAAGAGTTATACATAAACTTGTAACCCTTTAAAATTATCTGCAGACAACGGAATTATGGGGACTTTTTCCTGCCATGATTTTTTTTTTCCCAAAACTTTTTTGTAGTTGTGTATTTTCTATTGCGAAGAAAACACATCTCACAAAATACCTGAAAGATATAGAGCTTCTTTTAATTTTCCTTTAAAAAAGTAATTAAAGTTCCATTTTCTTTAACTTTCCAAAGACCTGGAATCCTGATAGATAAAAAATAAATAGCCCTGAGGAACTCTATATGTACTAGAAGATACATACATGTAACTAGATACACACATACATGTACACTAGAAGATATTCATGGCTCAGTTTAGTAGCCAATCCAAAGTTCTCTGCAACTATGCAGAACCCAGTCTAGATCTCAATAAATAAGAGGAATGAGTGCCAACCAAGTAAACATATTAACATGTTCAATAACAGTGGTAACTCTCAGATTTATTATTTTTTGCAACCTGAGAGGGAAAAGAATTGTATCAAAGGTATTCCTGTCACACATACATCTTTTATTTTGCTATCCCCTTTTAATCTAGTGGATAAATTTGAGCTCTCAGCTTAAGGGGACAAGAACAGGAGAGATCTTATCAGTCTTCATCAATGTTTAACAATACTTAAAGATCACTGCACTACTCTTCCCCTCACCTTTAGCACTCGATATGCCTCCTGCAGCACGAGTTTATCAGGCACAAGATTAATCACACAATTGGACCTGAAAAGAACAGACAGAATGTCAAACAAATCTGTAGACTACTCCAATAACTGTGGAGTTGACTGTGACTTATGGCAACCCTGTGTGTGTCAGACTAGCTTTTCAATGACTTATTTCTCAAAAGTGGATCCCTTGGCCTTTCTTTCAAGACACCTATGGGTGGGGTCAAGCCTCCAACATTTAGGCTAGCAGCTATGATCATCAACCGTTTGTACAATCCAGTGACTCCACACACTACTTGTTGTTGTTAGGTGCCATTGAGTTGGTACCAACTCATAGCAACCCTATGCAAAACAGAATGAAACAATTTTTAAATCCTTTCAGTCCCTGAGGATGGTTCCCACCCTGTTCTCAAAGTCACATCACCCTGTTTGTCTCACTCCTCTTTTTCTTACACTCACTTTTCCCAAGGTAAGGGAGATGAGAAGAGTGTTTAAAAGTTCAGTGAATTATTAGTAAGTTTGATGGTAAAGAAAAAAAAAAAATTAAGCACGGTTCTTATTTGTTGCGGCACTGATGTTCATCAAGCTACTAGATGCAACCTAGGCATGTGCAGATACCTATTGCACAATGGTTCTTATGCCATACCTAAATGGGCTAAGTTCCTAAAAGTTCCTGAGAGGTGGTTTGACTCAGGCTGTCAGTTGGGCATAGTTTGACAACAACTCAGAGGACAAAGAGAAACACAGAATCCTGGAATTTGCTATGAAAATAATGCTAAAGATAACAAAACAAAAACACAAACCCACTGCCATTGAGTTGATTTGGACTCATAGTGATTTTATGTAGGGTTTCCAAAACTAAGTTTTACAAGAGGAGAAGGTCTCATCTTTATCCCATGAAGCAGCTAGCAGGTTTGAACCATTGACCTTATGATTAGTAGCCCAATACTTAACCTGCTGTGCCATTAGAGCTCCTTAAAGATAATAAGTCAGTGGGCATTGTATGAGTGGGCTTGGAAGGCTTTCAAGATCAATTGTTTATTAAGTTTAAGCTTTCCCTTGGGCTAATGTGTTCTGCTGCTAATCAGCTACATATGGTCAGACAATAGCCTTCCCTTTACAATATGACTGGCTAAGTGCAATTTTAATACCATAAAACCCAAAACAAAACAAAAACCACTGTTGATTCTCACTCACAGTGACCCTACATACGGCTTCCAAGACTACAAATCTTCATGGGAGCAGATAGCTTCATCTTTCTGCTTCCGAGCAGCTGGTGGTTTTGAACCAGTTAGTAGTCTAATGCTTATCCTACAGCACCACCAGAACTCCTTTTTAATGCCATAAATGAGAGTTCTTTTTAATGCCATAAATGGTGACATCTGTGTGTTCAATATGAAGTGGGCTATGTTGACAAGAGTAATGAAATAGACATCTGTAACAATATCATAATCTCATTCTTGATTCTAGCCTCTCCCAGCTTCTCTATGTAGCCGTGAATAAAAGTCACACTGGGTGAGTGGAAGCCATGCTTTCCCATGTGAATGGAAGTCAATGTACTTTTTGGGCACTTCCACCCAAAGAAAGAAAAATATAGGTTTCATACTCAATATTGTTAATCTATTAGTTTTCTCCTAAATTTTCCCTATTACTAGTAGAATATCCTTTCCCCAAACTATTTTGGATAAGTATACAGGATTCCTCTGAACATATCGTGTATACTACAGTGAAACATACACTCTCTGCTTGGTACAGAGACTTGGCTTAAACAAACTCCAAATTCTATAGGAAAACATTTCAGGGCAGATAGCTGCTGCCATTGCTGTTAAGTGCTGTCGAGTCGGTTCTGATTCATAGCGACCCTATATAGGGTTTCCAAGGAGTAGTTGGTGGGTTTTAACTGCCAACCTTGTGGTTGGCACTTCAGTGCTGCCCCTATAGTGCCACAGCAGAGGTCCAGAGCAGATGGAAGAAAGAAGGAAAAGATCAAAATCCATTAAGACATGTGATATTCTGTGTCAAATCAAACCTCTGACTCTGTTCTCCAGGAAGAGCACCTTATCATCAAAGTTCTCAGCTTCCTGACAAGAGGTGCCAGTGACACAAATGAGCATTGCTAAATAACAGACTTCTTAGATTGTCCTTGAAAACTCACACATAAGAAAAACAACTTTATCTCTAAAAGAACGTGTTTTTTTTTTTTTCTTTGTCCTCCAAATCATTGCCTCACCTGCCTGTCTGTCATGTGTATTCCACTGGCATGCCCCTTCTCACCAGCCAGCTTAGTGCACAGCAATCTCTGCCACTGCCACTACCCAGGTCCAACATGCAGCAGTTTTCCAGACACTCAGAGATGACCAGATCACAGCCACGGTACCTGGGAAATGAAAAAACTATATAGACAAGGGTGAGTCCAAAAGTACTACTTCTAAGGTGCCCGTTCATACATGTATAGGTTTCTTCCAAACAAACCATGTTTAAACATGTCTCTGATAGGTAGATGGCTACAAACAAGTTCTCTCATCTTAATCTCATTAGGGTGGCTTTAAAAAAAAAAAAAAAAAAAAAGAGGGTACTTTTTGTGCCATGGAGAAAAAACTATCTTGAGTTTAGAGGTAATACTTTTTTTTTTTTTTTTTATGTTTTATTGTGAATTATGTGATCATTTACATGGGAGAACATTAGCTTTACATTCATCCTATCCTATATCATTTCATTGCCATGGTTACAATCCCCTCCATGCATCATCAACCAACCAACGGGCATACCCTGCAAGCCTGCCCCCCAGTCGTCAGCACACAGCCCCTCTCCCTCTCTGGGTCTAAAGTCCCCAGCTGCTCCATCTCTCCACGTCATTGTGTCTGTCCCCATCGCTTCTCTGGGTAGGGTCCCACTCTCCGCTCTTCTCCCTTGATGGTCCCAGGGACCTCTGCTCCTAGACTGCAAAGTTAATCACTCCCCTTCTTTTGCTACAAAACGTCTACCTTTACATTTCCAACCCTCACAATCAGTCCTGATAACAATTATTCACTATTGTATCACAAGAAACCTATCCACATCTCCTTTCAACAGCCATGTCCAGACAGATTGGATACTACTCAGTGGAGATTCTACGTCCTCCACACCCTCTGGATCTAGGTTCCCTCTTGAAAACTTGTAAGCCAGTCACTTCTTGCCTTTGTAGCTTCTCCCCTCCCCCCCCTTATTTTGGGTAGCCAATGTCCAAGTTGCCCATCCCTGTCTACTCTGTGTATGGAGGGGGTGGGAATGATCCTCGTTGTAAAGATTTGTTCCCTCTTTTGAGCTACTGCATCCATAGATGTGGGTCAAGTTCATCAAATTGTATTGGATTACTCTTTTTTTTCTCTTCTTCCTTCTTCTAGTTGAGCTCTGATCATCCAGTCATTGAAGCCAGGTCAAGTGGGTATTATCTGCAAGTGTGGGTGTTATTGTGCATATGCCCTCCCTTCTTATCAGCTGTATGCTTCACTCTCCACTCTAATCCTCTGTGGCTATGTCACTGACTCTGGGCCCCAAAGTTCCCAGGTCTTGCCACATTGCTGGCCAACCAGGTCTCCACCCGGGTTCACAGGAGTCTATTGTAGGGCTTAGCTTGCAGCTTCATTGCTGTTTTTCCCTCACTTCCCTTTATCGGTGACAAATGTGGTCACCAATCAGAGCATGTATTCCCATTGAGTCTTAGTCTTGGAAGGGGGTTTGTCCTGAGGGGACCTGACCATTTGCCTTGATGTCTCCTGGGCAAGCAACTTGCTTGTTCTTGTAGTAATCAGTCGGTCTGCCTATATTATTTTGTATTTTTCCTGTTGGTCTTTCTTTCAAGAAGTATCTTCTGTTCTAGCTGCTCCAGGCTGGTCTTCTTGTCCTTTCAAATGGAAATTTCCCACCTCAGAAGAGTCTGGATGCTATTCAGGATTCCACCTATGGTCTTATGTAATGCAGAGGCTCCGCAGGAAGCCTCCTTCACTGGGCACATTGTAGCCCCATTTTAGGTATTCCAATCAGTAATAGGCAGAAGACGGACTTACAAGCTTTCTATGGTGATGTTTCTGGCTATTCCTTTCTCTCCCCCTAAAGGCTAACACATTTTTAACAGAACTCAAGTGGACATCTTCCTAAATCATTGAAACTTTGCAACAAGTTTATGGGAATGTTACAGGATCAGCACTGGACTGCAACCACAAATTTGGCAGTTCAAACCTACCAGTTGCTCCTCGGAAACACTATACAGAGTTGCTGTAAGTCAGGACTGACTTGACAGCAATTAACAACAACACCCACGTAAAACAACAGGTTTAAGATGGATCAAATGTTTCGAAGAAGGTTGGGAAGACCTAAAGCTGAGCCAAGAGAGGGAAGACCACCAATGAGGAAACTGTGGCTAAAATGCTGAAACCAGTGGAAGAAGAGTTATCATTGATGTGATAGCACTGAAGTTGGGATTTCACATGGCTCAGTGTTTTCAATTTATGTGAACAACTTGGCCTCAGCAAGCTCTCAGCTTGATGGGTACCAATAGAGTTGTGTGAAGATCAGCTAGCTCAAAGAGCTAAACTGTCCATTTCTTTTTAAGTCATTGAAGCTTAGTTTTGAAGATGATTTTATAGAATGAATCGTAACCTGGGGAGAGTCTTGGATTTGTCACTATGATCCAGAAAGCAAGGAGCAATCAAAACGGGATTTCTGTGGAGATCTGCTGGGCCAGTTCAATTCAAGGCAGAAAGGTCAGCTCAGAAGGTCACGGTGACTGGTGTGGGAGATTCCAAAGACGTAATCTTGACAGATTTTTTTGAAGGACATAGGAGGATCACAGGGGCTTATTAGGAGAAGTTTTAAGAAAATGAAAATATGCACCAAGGAATTTTTTCCATCTTGAACATTGTACCTACTCATTCTTTAAGGGTACTAAAAGTTGTCCTCCTAGAATTTCACGGGGACACTTTACCCCATCCACCTTCCAGGCCTGATCTTGCCCTTTCAGACTTCTTTTTGTTCCCCAAACTCAAAGAACATTGAAAAGGACGATTTCAGTTGCTGAAGGATGCCCAAACTGCCATTTGACATGTCACAACTCGAACAGCTCATAATTCCTCAGGAAAGGGTTAGAGAGATGGGAACACAGCCTTCAGAAGTGTAGAGACCTAGATGGAGGAGAAATCAAGAAAAAAACAATAGCTTCACATTTTGATCTTTCTGTTTAATAAAGGTAGCAATGCTTTTTGACTAACCCTCATATATTTTACCTACAGACTAGAAGATGTCGAACCATTGTTCTTATGTGCTTTCATGTCATTTCAACTCACAGTGACCCTGCATAAGGCTTCCAAGGCTGTAAATCTTTGTGGGAGTAAAAAGCCTCATCTTTCTCCCATAGAACCATTAAATAGTAACAAAGTCTTCCTTTTTTCCTTCTATCATAGATCTATGTGGGTGTTTAGTCTCCTCTACGAAACTGAAAACTCTGTGATGGCTAGGACTATATCTGCTTTGTGTATAGTGCAATGTGACAGGTTCTAAGACTTAATAAGCCATCTAAAACATTTGTTGAATAAATAAACTTAATTATTAACTGATGATCTAAAACACTGAAACCCAGGACTGTGCAAGTCATTAAGGAGGAAACATAAGACAAGATTTCTGTTCCTTAGGCATATTTATTCTTTCTGGGAAGATAAAACAAACCGAGAAAACATTTTCTTTGATTTATTGGCAAACTGAGTGGCATGGACAGGAAGTGCGGCAGCAGTGTGGGGAAGGGGCTGCTCAGATTGGAGAAGGCTTAAGAAATGGGTAGGACATTACTGAAGCATTGAAGGCTTGGTCAGGGTTTGGATAGGTAAAAAGATGGTCTCCAATGTTTCCTGGGAGTAATTGGGTGGGTGCGTGGGGACCTGGTGTATCTTAAGCCAGGCAGAAAATGATCAGGGCTGTGCCTGAGGTGATAGAAGAGTTGTAGATTTGAGTCTTCTACCTGAAGGCCACATCCACATGTACATTCTGCAGAGCTTCTCAGATATGTTCAGAACTGATCTGGTGACAGACACAAGCATTGGTCTGTAGGTCCATCGATTTCAACATCTGCCCAGAGTAGGTCAGATTGAGGGGTGGACAGGGTAAAGAAGAGTTAGTCCTAGCTGGTGTCCACAGGGCGAAGGCTTCCTAATGCCCCACCCCCCACCTCAAGACCTAGCCAGGCTTTGCCCCCTGCAAAGCTAAAGTACAGATCCTGCTCTGACTCTGACCCAAGGGTCCTGGGGGACAGGGGCACAGGTTGGCTTGGGCCTCTAAAGGTCTTGGGTTCCCACCTAGCATCTCTCACCTGCATGTCCTTCTGGATCTCCAAGTCGCAGGTGGGAGGGAGGGTGGAGGGGAGGTGACCGATGCTGAGGAAGGGAAAAGGTGGGTAAAAGAGCGGGGTGGGGGTGGCGCCAGGATAGGGAGGTTCTGCAAAGTATCTCACTGCGCAATTCAGGGCAGCAAGCAAGGGAGGCCTTGTGGAGGGTGCGGGAGAAGGGGGCGCATACTCACTATCTTCTCGAGTCTCCAGTCTTCAAGACTTGGCTCTCAAGCAGCCAGCCCCGTGCTCCGCAGACTCGGCTCTGACAGAATCCGGAGGCCCAGGCGCCCTCAGTTGCTGGAGAAACCAACTGCCTCTCCCTGCCCGATGCCCCAATCCTGTCCGATAACCAGTCTTCACATCGTTCGCCGGCCCTTCGGGGTCCACTGGCATCTTGGTTCTTCAGTCTTTCCAAACAGCAAGAATATTTAGTATCTTCCTTTATTGCTCCAGAATGATTTTTACTTGATATGAACACCCAAATATACAATGGCTTTGGTCCCTCTGAGGAATGAAATCACCTTTCCTTAATCTTATTTTTTTTAAGTCAGATTTATTGAGATGTATTTTATATTCAGTGAAATTCACCTTTCTTTAGTGCACAGTTCTATAAATTCTAACAAAAGCAGACATCAAAAAGTTTCCTCTTGCCCCTTAGTTCCTAAGCAATCATAGATCTGTTCTTCCTTCCTGTCTTTTGCCTTTTCCAAAATGTCACATAAATTCAATCAGGCAGTAAGTAGCAGTTCTCACTCTATTTTGAGATGTACTTAGGAAAAAACTTCGCTAAATTCATTTTACCTCTAGTAATATGTGGTCAATTCACTTGTGTTTTCTAAGTATTCAGTCACTTCACCTTGCAGAGTGTAATTAAAACTTTTCCTTGGCAAATGTATCTCTCTTACTTGCTTTTGTTGTTGACGATGCATTTCTATTCATTAGGAAGGTGTCTGGGTGTGGTGCTGTAATATGAGTAAGGGACTGTTTATTGAAGGTTGGTGGTTCAAACCCAATAGCCATTCCTTTGAAATGCTACATGAGTTGGAGTCAAATGATGGTACTAAACAACAACAACATTCATTTTAATAGTAGAGACAAGTAAAAGGATATATAAATGAAAGAAAGGTCCTTCTTCACTAAATTAGACCCCATTGTTCAGTCTCACCTGCTAATAAGAAAGATGTATTGAAATCCAGCTGGTAAAGTTCCACTTTCTTGATGTAATCAGTTGTTTTTTTAAAAAAAAAAAAAATTAGGAAAGTAGTGTATATTTTTAACAAAAATCTATAGAAAACACTCCTTGTTGGAATATTTTTATAAGTTGGAATCTTTCCAAGTCCCAAGTGTGTAAAAATGAGTATTTCAGAGGTCACACAGGTTTTGGGTAATCATATCAGGGAGAAAACATGCCTATAAGTTTTCAAAATACTCTCTCCATAAAATGAGTCCCTTTAGAAAAACAGTTACTTTCTCGTTCATTATTAAAATGGCATCTTTCCCTTAGAGGACAGATGGAGTCAGAGGTTAAGGGAATGGTGCTCTCCCCATTAGTTCACATGTACTTGCGTTACTATATTCTCTTCAATCTCTGGCTTATCTACAAGAATCATCTGACAACTCTAAAATCCACTTAACCACACACAGTAAGCTATAATAAAGCAAACCACTATCAACTCAAATTGAGTTATTCCCAGGAAATCTGGTATGCAGGGCTGATTGTGGGCAAGACTACTTAATGACCATTCTGACCGGTCAGTGCCTCAGCTAGTTTTTGAGTTTGTTTTTTTGTATCATCCCTCCTAAATCGCAGGTATCTGTATGCTATGGAGACCTAATTAGGTCTTTAATATTAAGCTATATTGTAAAAGATACTGAAAGTTCATTTAACCCTATTTTTATTTTTGACTTCTTTTGTAACCTTGTATTGTGAATTGGGGTAAAGATTTACAGAGCAAATCCGTTTTCCATTCAGCGAGTCATACCCATGTTGTTTTATGTCATTAGTTGCAGCCCTCACAGTAGACCATCACTTATCCCTCTTCTACTGATGCCCATCCCATTCATCTTTCCCTAACCCTTCCCGTCTCCTGAATATTGTCTCCGGGCAAATGCTGCCATTTTGACCTTAAATGGTTGATAATTCTAAGAAGTGCATGCCTCCCTCGTGTTATTGCTCACCTTATAGACCTGCTTGTTGTTTGGCTAAAAACTGAACCATGAGGGTGAGCTCAGTTCAAGACCTGAAGGGCCATAGTTTAGGCTTCCACCAGACTCTGGTGTGGCGCTGTAGGATAAGCACTAGACTGTGAACCTCAACATCGGCTTTTCAGACCCATCAGCTGCTCCTCGGAAATCCTATACAGGGTCATTCTGAGTCATGAGCCAACTCCACAACAACCAGACTCTAGCTGACTGGTAAGCTTGGTCATTTTTATAATTGTGAGTTTTGTTCCACATTTTTCTCCCATTATTGTGATCCCTTTCAGAGTGTTGGTAATGGTACCTGGACACCAACTAGTTCTGGTCTCAGGGTAGTAGAGGCTGAGGTTCGTGGGATCCATTAGTGTTTCAGACTAATTGTTTCCACGGGTCTTTGATTTTTTTTTTCCACTCTCCATTGCCAGGGACGGGGAGACAATAGTTATGACCACTCACAAGTTTTAAGACACCAGTCACCACTCAACAAAGTGATGGTGGCAGTGTTTCTGCACCGTTGAATCACTTTCAACTCATAGGAACCCTGAACAGGGTTTCTGAGGCTGTAAATCTTTACAGGAGCAGAAAGCCTCATCTTTCTTCCAGGGAGCAACTGGTAGATTCGAACTATTGTCCTTGCAATTAGCAACCCAGCTTGAAATACAACCAGGTCTGCTTACTCAAACAAATTGTTGTTGTTAAGTGCCGTCGAGTCAGTTCCGAACCATAGCGACCCTGTATAGGGTTTCCAAGGAGCAGCTGGTGAGCTTGAACCGCTGACCCTGCAGTTCAAATGACTTTGCAGTCTGACGCATTAGCCCATAGCAGCACACCAGGACTCCCAAACAAATTAGGATGTAGAAAATTTTCTTTGTGGACTGTGTTGTGCCAATTGACTTTAATATCCTCTAAGACTGCGCTTCTAAGCCCAGAATCTAGTGACTCATTTCTACAAGTTGTTTGGTTACAGTTAAATTTGCATAACTTCACATTCTGTGTGCTCTACTACATTCATGGATTATTTGCAACATATGGAAATACATATGCAGAAATATTCTCTGTCAAACCTATAATGGTGGTGTGCCATCCAATCAGTTTCTGAGTCTGTAAATTTTACGGGAGCAGAAATCTTCATCTTTTTCTTAAGGAGCTGCTTACCAGATACAACTGCTGACCATTTTGTTAGCAACCCAACTGGTAACCCACTAAGCTACCAAGGTTCCTTTAACCTATGGTGGTGGCTGTGTGCCGTGGTGTTGGTTCCAACTCATAGTGACCCTGTACAGGGTTTCCAAGACTGTAAATCTTTATGGGAGCAGAACACCTCATCTTTCTCCCACGGAACAGCTGGTAGTTTCGAACTGCTGACCTTGCAGTTCACAGCCCAATTCATAACCACTACACTACCAGAGCGCCTTTAACCTAAATACAGTCCCATTCTCTTTCCCATATCTGTTCAGCTTGCATGTCTTGTAGATTATTGTTCTGTCATCGCATGATTATTTCTATAACAGTAGTTACTTCTGTTGCCTTTACCAAATCCCCCGTGTCTTCCTTTGCTACCCTTCCCCATGTTGTATATTACTTTCCCCCTTCACCCAAAAGCTTTTTTTTTTTTAAGATTAAAAATGAAAGAGAGATCTTCATGGTTTCTCCCTGAACTTTCAATCTCTGTATAACCTCTACACATTCCTTGGACGTTACTGGTCTGCCAGTTCCAAGATGGTCCAGAAAGGCAAATTTTGGTTTGGTTTATAGAATCATCTCTCAAGAAGTAGAGCTCTCCCATAAGGTCAGCATTTTAAGTAAACAATTACCCAATTAATTGAAGCATCCAAGCAGAAGCTAAGTGACCAGGTGGGTGATTACGCACTAGATATGAAGTAAAATGGGTAAAAGGACTAGACTCAATCACTTCCAAAATTTTTCCTTTACTAAAAGTTGTTTTAATATATTAAGCACTGAAAATGGCAGGTTATGTTTATAAGAGAAGTAACTGGTAATAGAGAACCTGACTAGTAGCCAGAAGACCTACAACCAAACTCACCGATGTTGAGTCAGCCATTTCACCCATAAAACATGGGACTAGAATGCCTGAGGCTTGTACAGCTCCTGTATTTTGGAGTACTATGTACAACTTTCTCTTTTTCCAAATATGTTGGAAATTTCTTTTAGAAAGAAATTCTGTTTTTTGCTTAAATTTTTAATTAGAAATAGAAGTTGAATTTTTCTCAAATGCTTCTTTGGTATATGTTACATTGATGTAAGGTTTTATTGTTTCTTATTAACGTAATATAATTGGAAGCTGTTATTAACTTTGTAATCCTGGAATGAACATTACTTGAATTATCAACATAGTTCTCTATTCAATTTTTCTAACATTTTGTTAGGATTTGTAAATTTATGTTCATAAATAAAAATCTCTTACTTTTCATTTGTCTTGCTTTTTATCTTTGAAAAGAAAAACATTTACTTCATCAAACGAACAGCTACCTTGCCTTTATTTTCTATATTTTGGGAGTACAGACATACCTTGTTTTATTGCACTTCACCTTATTGTGCATCGCAGATACTAGTTTTTTGTTTTGTTTGTTTTAAAAACTGAAGTCCTATGGCAACCTTGCCTCAAGCAAGTCCACTGGCACCATTTTCTCAACAGTATGTGCTCACTTAGTGTCACATTATGGTCATTCTCCCAATATTTCAAACTTTTAATATGTCACTGCATTCCTAATAGACTGTATACAGTGTCTGACAAACATAACTTTTATAGGCAGTGGAAAACCAAACACTTTGTGGCACTTGCTTTACTGGAATACTCACTTTATTGCAGTGTCTGAAACCAAACCCATAGTATCTCCAAGGTAGGTCTGTACAGACAATCACAGTTTTTCCAATATTTGTTCTAGCATGAAAAATATGTATACTATACCTTTATTTTAATTTTACTTTTTTTCATTTAAAGTATTTGCTCCTTGGATGTATGGAAATGTTAAACACAAGAGAGGGAAGAGCACTGTTTCATTGTGAGGATGGCAATCAATGTTGAGAATTAAAATATAAATGAATTTCTGAATAGAAAACCAATTTGCTTTGTAAGCTTTCACTTAAATCACAATAAAACATAAAAAAAATTTAAATATAGTATATTTGCTTCTTATATACTTAGATAATTACATTTTGTTTTATTTTCTAAATTGGTGATCCTTCTTTTTAAAGATAAAATGAGCACATTTACATTTAGTAATTAAAAAGATGTTTGTGGAATGAATTTTCTAATAGTTCACACCTAACTTTTTAAGCCTAAGTGAGTACGCAAAAGTATCATGAGAGATAAGTACACACTTATTTGCTTATTTGACTTGGTGATATGCAATATGAACTAAACAGGACCTTTATTTTCTTTCTCTTCATTCTGTGAAAGTAAGATTTCATGTCGGTTGTGTAGTGAGTTATTCCCTCCTCAGTATTAGAACTAGAAGACGATAGAATCCCATTCTAAATTCAAGTGAAGATAAAATACCCAGATTTAACAACAGCCGTGTGGTTATGTCATTTAACAAGATGAGTCTACTAAACCAGGCAAATGTCAACAAACATACAGTCTTCATAAACTCAGAGCACAACCCTATGTCATAATCACTCATGGTAACTCAACTACCTTCACATTTGGCAATAATGTCATGCAAATCAATGTGTTGATGATAAAGAAAATTACAAAATGAACCCAAGGCCATGTAATCTTAAGAGTTACAACAACAAAGAAATGCAGGTCAAGGCAGGAGGTTACAGCTGGACAGATAGGAGACCGAGACTGTTAGCCTAGTTCTCATCTAAGCTAAACTGAAGTTACGTCAAAGTCTACTAAACAAATAAAATATGTACCTCACTGAATTACTAGAAAAGCACCATTCTGTGACCATAAAATTAAAGTATTTCTTGAATGCATGATTTAAAAAAAAGACTTTGACAAGAATATTACCATTCTTACATTACTTAGTATTTGCTTAAGAATCACATTTAGACAATATGACTTTCAACATAATTAAGACTTCTATAGGGAAAACTAACACATCCTTTAATTCTACTTTAATATCAACTTGAAATTAATTCTACTTTAATAACAACTTAAAATTTCAGTAAGACCATGGGTTGGTCCAATTCAAGGAGTGCCTTCACAATTCAGCCACCTGGCTTCTGTTCCAGATAAACTGTAACCAACAAAATCTTTTCTAACTTAACTTTTGGAGAAGAAAGCAGACAATCAATCCATGGCATGATGACTGTAATAAGGTATTTCCTTCTCAGCATCAGGAAAAGGAATACTTTTGCATTGTTACATGCTATTCTATTTCAACAGGTGAGTCAACTGGTCCTGTAGATCTGATGACTGCTCAACACTAGAAACAGAGTAAAGGGTTTATCTGCAATAAGCAATAGAGACAGTTCTTTATACAAGCTATTTGTACATTACTACATAAATATTATTAAAGCTAAATCAAAATTCATACAGTTCCATTTGTATCTCAGAAGTGTTTAAACTAAAAAGAAAGGTTTAGCAAAGCAAATTAATAGTGTCAGCAATATTGCAAGGGACAAATTTAATCAGAAAACTAAGGTAGCACATTTACTCTACTTAATGAATGCTACCAATGTAAAGTATTCATTAATCCTGAAGGTTGACCTCTACCCCCTGTAACTTTACTAGAAGTGAAATGAGTTACACAAGCCTTTGAAAGAATATACTATATGCACCCCAGAGAAAATACCACTTTATGGGCATATGTCGGCCAGAGTTTTACATCTATCCTGGGCCTATCAGTGTAATTTCCTTGAGCTTATTTCAGTTAATCCTCCACTCCCTTACCCTCAGGGTTACTTACTTCTTCTGAATAGCTTCTTGCCTAAATCAAAAAAGGAAAGAGGAAAATAAATCCAGTGAACTAGTAAAATTTATTTATGACCAGATACATACAGGCAGAACAAACATTCAGTTTATGTCACATGCTAAAAAGCTATTAGTCCTATCCTAAGATTGTGCTATACAACAGGGATTCCTATTGTAATGTTGTTGTTGTTAAGTGCTGTCGAGTATATTCTGATTCATAGCAACACTGTATAGGGTTTCCAAGGTGCAACTAGTGAGTTTGAAGTGTCAATTTTGTGGTTCAAACCGATCTTGCAATCGAGGGCTTACCCTACAGTGCCACACCAAGATTCTTATTTGAGTGTTGTTGTTGTTAAGTGCCATCGAGTCGGTTCTCACTCATAGTGACCTTTGTAGGGTTTCCAAGGAGCGGCTTTGAACCACTGACCTTGCAGTTCAAACTGACCTTGTGGTCCAGGGCTTCATCCCACAGTGCCACTCTGTTGGTGTTACGTGCCATAGAGTTGGTACTGACTCATAGCGACCCTATGTACAACAGAACGAAACACTGCCTGGTCCTGGGCCAACCTCACAATTGTTGCCACACTTAAGCCCATTGATACTGCCACTTTGCCAATCCATCTCACTGGGGGGTCAGCACCACTAGAATTGCTCATATAGTAGATCTTGAAAAGGATCCTAAACCTAAAAACGAGTCCTGCTGTGGCACTGTAGGATAAGCACTGGACCTCAAGGTTGGTTTGAACTGCAAGGTTGGCAATTCAAATTCACCAGCCACTCCTCAAAAACCCTATACAGGGTCGCTTTGAGTCGGTGCTCAGTCGACAGCACTTAACAACAACAAATCTAAAAAAAGCAAAAATCCATTGCCATGGAGTGGATTCCGACTCACCATGACCTAACAGGATAGAGTATAACCACTCCATAAGAGTTCCAAGGCTGGAAATCTTTATGGAATCAGATAGCCACATCTTTCTCTCATGGAGCAACTAGTGGGTTAGAACCACCAACCTTTCAGTTGGCAGTCGAGTGCATAACCACTGCATCACCAGAGTGCAATTCTAGAATGAGGGATGTGGTCCAACATTCTACATGCATGGCTCAAATTCAGTCTGGGTAGGCCAAGTCAAATGATGAGCTATTTTATATGTACACACTTAAAGAATGGCCAGGACAAGCATTAGCTATTTAAATATCAAGAATGACATGCCCAATTATACATTTCTAATAGGTACCTAAGTATAGTACCAACTACATAAAACATAAACCCAAATGAAATAAGATGAAAACCAAATTAAATTATAATTTTATCAGGAATTATAATGGAAAAAGGTTCTTTATAGTTCAAAATCTCCTGGATGATTCAAATATGTAGGTAGGCCTATGTTACAAGTGGGAATATAGGATACAGGTTGCAGTTATGTTTGATTCCCTTAGTGCAGGAAGGGATTGCTCAAGAGACCTTGGGCCCAGACTCTCAACAAATACTGACTGGATACCTACAAGGTCCCAAGCATTGAGCTACAATGACCCTGGCATGATCCCTGCTCTTAGGAGGCTTACTGTTTCTCCTTCTGAGGCACCTTCCAGCTAACACAGAGACATGTTTGCAAAAGGTAGTTCCTGTTTCTGTTTTCACTCCCTCACCCAACCTTGTCTGCAGTCCCAGACATTTTTTGCACAAAAGGGACTCATTTTATTCCTACCCCACTCCTTCCTCCACAGGAAAATGCCCTAAAGCACAAAGGCAATGAGAAGCAGGCTGAGGAGAATGACTTTGCAGTAAACAGTCACGGAAGAGGTCATACTTACTGGTATTGAAGATGTGTGGTTATTATTGCCATTTTCCTTAAACTCTGCACAAAGACAGAAAGTAATACATCTCTGTAGCCAAACAAACCAGGCATACAAACCCCAAGTGATGAAATAAATTGTTTCTTACATCTTCTGAGTGCAAGATGGCATCTTCCTGTAGTACCATGTTTCGAGCTGCCTGACCTAGCAGCTGGAAGACAAAAATAAAATAGAAATAATCAAAATTGCCAAACTTCCTGTAATCTCTGTGCAGCTGTTATACACCACCCACTCCCCTCCTCAACGTTCCCACCCCTTAACAACCATCAACACTCAAAATGTAAGGGAGGATAATTTTCCATTTGTTCATGTTGAAAATCCACTTTACTTGCACGATGGCAATCCTAGCATGGGCTCGACATCTGTTTCAAAGGCCACCGCCCGAGAAATCAAGAGCTCCATAACTGCTGAGCTTTCTACACAACTTATTAATCAAGTGCTAACAGAAAACTGCGAAGAAAGACAGGCCCCACAAGTCCAGCGAGAAAACCTAAGTTCTAACTCTTTAAGGGTGGACTTATGGTCTGGGTGGAGTACCGTCAAGTCCCTTCCAATTCACGGTGACCCCTTGTGTCAGTGCAGAGCAGAACCACTCCATAGAGGCTTCAGGCTGTGACCTTTCAGAAGCACCACAAGACACCACCTTGTGGGTTTGAACCACTAATCTTTCGCTAGTAGTCTAGCACTTAACCATTTGTGATACTCAGGAAGAGAGGTAAGGGGGCAGGATTTATGGCAGGACTGAAAAAGAAGAATGGAGTTTTTCGAAAAATGGAATGAGAGGCATATAGGTAGGGGTGAGGGAAAGGTTCAGGGTCTAATGTAGGAAACCACTATAGGAAGTGTGGCCAGACAAAAGAAAGAAGAAATCTGAAGGCAGATTTTAATGACTCCAATGATAGCTGGGCCCTGAGATCAAGCAAAGGGCAGATGAAAAGTAGAACTCTGGTTTAGCTGAGTGGCCTGTGGTCAAGGCAAGTGCAGTTCAGCAGATTTCTCCCCTAATACTGCACACAGCTCTGGACATATGGAATTCTAATTCTACTACAGAAGCAGCCTATGTGAAAAATATACAAGGAAGAGGAAGAAGCAAGCCACATTGGGACAGACAATAGTGGCACAATGGCCTTTGAGCTACTTAATCCAGCTAGTATATTAGAGGCAGTGTCCAAGAGAGTGAGTCTAGAAAATGTAGACCCAGATCTGCTTACTAGCTCTGCCACCTCCTTGCTAGTATGTGAACCTGGCAAAGTTAAAGTCCTCACTGCATCTTTATGAAGTTACAATACTTCATTTATGAGTGAATATAAAGAGTCAATGAATTAAACTGCATAAAACACCTAAAGAAGTGTCTGTTGTTGTCAAGTACCATTGAGTCAGTTCCAACTCATGACCCTGTATAGGGTCTCCGAGTCTCATCTTTCTTCTGCAGAGTGGATGGTGGACTTGAACTGCTAACCCTGTGGTTAACAAACCAGTCCTTATCCTACAGAGCCACCAGTGCTCCATAGCAGTTTCAGGTGGTGGTGGTTCCTACTCTCAGTGACCCTGCATAGGGTTTCCGAGACTATTGTCTACCACATAGTAAATGCTCAACATAAATTTATTATGATGAATACAGATGTTCAATACATACTAGTGGCTAAAAATGAGTACCACTTATTTTTCTCTTGATTCAAAGTTGATTATATATACATATATGTATAGTTGTTTTGTTAAGCACTGTTGAGTTGGTTCTGACTCATATACAGTGAACCTGTATAGAGTTTCTGAGGAGCAGCTGGTAGGTTTTAACTGCTGACCTTGAGGTTAGCAGTCAGGCATTATTCTACAACATCATACCAGGACTACATACATATATATGTATCTTTATTTCTTTGATTGATTGTGATTTTTGGAGAAAAATTCACATAGCAAATAGGTTCTAATCTTGAAGTAGCGCTTCAGGATAAGCACCAGACTGCTAACTACATGGCTGGCAACTTAAACCTACCAGTCACACTTTGGAAACCCTATATATGCTTGTTATGAGTGGGAATCAATTCAATGGCACTTGACAACAATAATAATACATATATGGAGCCCTGGTGGCACAGTGGGTTACATGTTGGGCTATTAAAGGCATAGTTGTTAGCTCAAATCTACCAGCCTCTCCACAGGAGAAGGATGAGGCTTTCTGCTCCCGTAGAGATTTACAGCCTTGGAAATCCTATACAGGGTGGTTATGAGTCAGGACTAACTGAATGGCACTTAAAACCAAGAACAGACACTGCTATAAGTGTTGTATACAGTTAAACTCATTGCCTCTTTACAATCACTAACAGCATACATACCATATTGAATAATAAAGCATCAAAAGATGATGTAAGAAAAACACAGTGTCACTGTACTAAAAAAAAAGGTTGATGTTCAGCTACTCCAGGAGGTAGCAGATGATTAAGAATCGATGGTACTAATGTACTGAAAGCATAAGTGAAAAACAACGCTCCAGAAAGTGATGGGAAAACTATTAAAATGTTCCAACAAATTGATGCATCCCTGGAAGCACTCACTAGTCTATGCCAAGAGATTTGGAAGACAGCTACCTGGCTGAGTGACTGGAAGAGATCCATGCTTGTGCCCATTCCAAAGAAAGGTAACCCTACAGAATGTGGAAATGATCAAACCATATTATTAATGTCACACACAAGTAAAATATTGTTGATGATAATTCAAAAACAGTTGCTGTAGTAAGTACATCAATAGGGAGCTACCGGAAGTTCAAGCAGCATTCAGAAGAAGATGTGGAATGGGAAATATCATTGTTGACATCTGATGAATCTTGGTTAAAGGTAGAAAGTACCAGAATGATGCTTACTTCTGTTTTATTGATTATACAAAGGCATTAGATTGTGTGGATCATAACAAACTACAGACAATATTGCAAAGAGTGGGAATTCCAGAACACTTAATTGTGCTCATGAGAAACCTGTATGTGGACCAACAGATAATCATTCAAACAGAATAAGAGGATACTGCTTCATTTAAGATCAGGAAAGGTATGTGTCAGAGTTGTATCCCTTCACCATACTTATTCAATCAGTATACTGAGCAAATAACCTGAGAAGCTGGATTATATGAAGAAGAATGTGGCATCAGGATTGGAGGATGATTCATTAACAACTCATGATATGCAGATGATACAACCTTGCTTAATGAAAGCCAAGAGGACTTGAGGCATTGTTGATGAAGATCAAAGAAAACAGCCTTTCACTATGGATTACAAATCAATGCAAAAGAAAACAAAAATCCTCACAACTGGACCAATAAATAACATCATGATAAGTGGAGAAAGACTGAAATTATCAAGGATTTCAATTTATTTGGATCCATAATGAATGCTTGGAAGCAGCAGTCAAGAAATCAAACATGCTACTGCATTCGGCAAAACTGCTGCAAAAGATTTAAAGTGTCAAAAGCACTAATTTAAAGGTACAGGAGCTCACTATGAGTTGGAGCCGACTCCATGGTACTTAACAACAACAAGGTGTACCTTAAGGAACTCTAGTAACGTAGTGGCTGCGAACCGCAAGATCAGCAGTTTGAAACTACCAGCTGTTCCGCGGGAGAAAGATGAGGCGTTCTACTCCCGTAAAGATTTACAGCTTCAGAAACCCTGTACAGGGTCTCTATGAGTCGGAACTGACTCCACAGCACACAGCTGTCCCCAAGGTGTACCTTATCCAAGTCACGGTATTTTCAATTGCCTTCTCTGCATGGACAACTGAATACATAAGACTGGAGAATAATTGATACATATTTGAATTGTGGTGTTGGTGAAGAATACTGAAAGCTCCATGGACTGCAATAAGAACAAAAAAATCTGTCTTGGAAGTATAGTCCGAATGCTTCTTGAAGTAAGGATGGTGACACTTAGCCTCACATACTTTTGACATACTAATCAGTAAGACCCTGTCACTGGAAAAGGATAACAAGATTGCTACAGCAGACAGTGAAAAAGAGGAAGGATCCAATGAGATGAACTGACACAATGATTGCAACAACAGGCTCAAACCTAACAACAATTGCGAGGACAGTGCAGAACCAGGTAAGATCTGTTCTGCTGTGCACCGGGTTGCTATGAGTTAGAGCCAACTCAACAGCATCTAACAACAACAATAATATATACTATTCAGTGACATTGCTTACACTTTTCAAAATGTGTCACCATTCTCATTTTCATTCAGGTTGTTCTATTTCCATTAATCTAGTTTCCTTGTCTGCCCTTACCATCTCATCTTTGGTCTAGAGTATATATTGACTGTTAGAACTCATTTAGAACACTATTTAGAGGACCACAGTACTCATAAGTGATATTATTTATTTTATGAGCCAATCTGTCTTTGGCTGAGAGATGACCTCTGAGAGTAATTTGAATTCCAAGATAAAAGGGAATCCCAGGGCAATAGTCTGGGAGCATCTTCTAGTCTCTCCTGGGCAAGTGATTCTGGCCTACGTTAAGAATGTGAGTTTTGTTATATATTTTTCTCCCATTCTATCCAAGGCCTTCTATTGTGTCCCTGGACAGAATGGTCAGCATTAGCCAGGTACCATTTAGTTCTCCTGGTCTCAAGACAGGTGAGGTAATGGTTCATGTAGACTGTTAGTCCTATACACTAGTTCCTTCAACTCCATGGTTTCCTTCTTGCCCTTTTTGCTCCAGACACGCAGAAACCAATAATTGTATCTTAGATGACCAATCACTAGCTTTCAAGACCCCAGACACTACTTGCTAAACTAGGATGTAGAACATTATCTTTATAAATTGTTATTCCAATTGATCAAGAAACCATTCAAAATCGATTCTATATTTATAGTCTGTTTCTCTCCAAAAACAATTCAAGGCAGTTTATAGCAAGCTATACATATACATATAAGTGTACGTATGTATGTATGTGGGGGCAGTCCTAGTTCAATGTTAGAATTTTTACCTTTCATGTGCGAGGCTCAGGTTCAATTCCAGCCAACGCACTTCAAGTGCAACCATTATTTGTGTATCAGTGGAAGCTTGCTTATTGCTCTGATGCTGAGTATGTTTCAGCGGTGCTTCCAGACTTAACAAAGACTATGAAAGAAAGTTGTTATGAACATTCACGTCCTTGGATGGACGTGTGTTTTCTTGGGTTATATCTACATGTGGAATGACTGGGTCATTGGTTATACCATAGTTCATTAATTTTTTTACCTGTTAATGGGCATTTGGGTTGTTTCCACTTTGGAGATATCATAAAAAAAAAAAGATGCTAGGGACATCTACAAGTCTTCATGTGGGCATACATTCTCATTTCTCTTTGATGAGTACCTAGAAATACAACAACTGGTTCTTTTTTTTTTTTGGTGCTAAACATAGTGTACATATATATAAAACTTTCTGGTCAGAAATAATGGAGAAGGATAAATCGGGAAAGTATATCACTAATAAAGTAAAGTGAAAGAGCATTGACCAATAGATTAAAACTGAAGAAGAAATCCATAGACAAATGATGCATACAGATGTGGGAAATTTTTGGAATGTTAAAGACAAAACAACATAGACTTTGGGAGCTGAAAGGGACTGATCATCACCATAGAAACCCCTGAGAGAGGAAAAATTGGTTACAGCTACCATCTCATCCACCGTCTACTTTAAAGCACAGACTAGCACCGTCATCCACCCAAGGAGTTCAATGGTGGCACCTGGTTCAATGGTGGCACTATACTATGTCAATAGTATTTAAACGTTCATTTAACATTTGGGGCTGTTAAATGAAAGACTGGCAGTTCAACCCACCGCAGCTCTGAGGGAGAAAAGACATGGTGATCTGCTCCCGTAAAGATTAAAACAAAGTAACAAATCTAAATATTTACGATGAAAATGGTATGGATTGCATTTCAATGTAAAAAAAACAAAAATCCTCACCACTAGACCAATAAACAACATTCTTATCAATGGTGAAAAAAAATTGAAGCTATCAAGGACTTCATTCTTCTTGGATCAACTATCAACACTCACAGAAGCAGCAGTCAAGAAATCAAACGACGTATTGCATTAGGCAATCTGCTGCACAAGGCCTTTTTAAAGTGTTGAAGAACAAAGATGTCAGCCTGAGGACTAAGGTGCTCCTGACTCAAGGCATGGTATTTTCAATAACCTCATATGCATGCTAAAGCTGGACAGTGAATAAGGAAGACAGAAGAAGAGTTGATGCTTTTGAGTTAGGGTGTTGGAGAAGAATACTGAAAGTGCCATGGGTTGCCCATAGAACCAACAGATCCGTTTTGGAAGAAGTGCAGCCAGAATGCTCCTTGGAGGCCAGGATGGCCAAACTTCGTCTCTCATACTTCAGACATATTGTCTCAGGAGGGACCAGTCGCTGGAGAAGGAGATCATGTTTGGTAAGGTAGAGGGTCAGAGAAAAAGGGGAAGACCCCCAGCGAGATGGATTGGCCAAGTGGCAGCATCGATGGACTCATGCGTGGCAACAGTAGTGAGGTTGGCCCAGGATCGCGCAGTGTTTCGTTTTGTTGAGCCCGCATCGACTCGATGGCACCTATCAATAACAATGTCATTGAGTCCAGTCGGACTCAGAAAGATTCTTTAAGCCAAAGTATAACTCCTCATAGGGTTTCTGAGGAGGCTGTAAATCTTTGGAAGCAAACTGCCCCATTTTCCTCGTAGGTGTTAGAAGTACCGATCTTTTGGTTGGTTGGCAAGCGAGCAAACCAGGGACCCTCCTCAATTATTACAGCCTAGGAAACCCTATATGGCAGTTCTACAGTGTTCTATAAGTTCGCTGAGTCCAAATCGACTCGACAGCAAATCACCGCTAATTTTAACCCAGAGACTACACGCCCCAGAATGCAACCTGCGCTTTCCGCCTACCATTCTACCCTGGATGGCAGGATCACAACCTACAACTCCCAGGATGCAACGCGACACCGAGGCTCAGAGCGCAGAAAGAAGGGTATTTCCCCGGAGGGTTAGTCCCGGAGATCCCATTTCCACCTCACCTCGGAGCTCCGGGAGCCCTTCAGCACTTGCTTGGTAAGCGCGATCACGTCAGTACCGCAGGTGTTCACCTTCTCGGTGAGAAGCCCTTTCACTGACTGACCGAATCGCGCTTGTGAATCTGGTGTGCCAGTCGCCATTACCTCAGCTAGCTAACGCCTCCGCACGGGTGACAGCAAGTCATTAGGGCCAAAAGAGGGTAGCGCGAAAGGCAAGGAGGCGGCATCCTACCGTGGGAAAAGGAAAGGACGCATGCGTTAAGCGAAGGATGCCCTTTGTAAGCTTTAATTTAAAATACTCACTTGATATCCTGAGACAGGAGCTAGGCAGACATCCCTAGAGGAAACGGAGGACTATTTCAGTAAATCCCTGGTTTAGAATTAGGAAGCCTGGATTACAGTTCCAAATTTGATACTCAGCAGGTTGTAGGAAGTGTCATCGAGTCGATTCCGACTCATAGCGACCCTGTATAATGTTTTCGAGGGGCAGTGATGGGACATAAATTACAACTGGACAAATAAGTAACATCATTATAAACGGAGAAAAGATTAAAGTTTTAAGACTTCATTTTGCTTGGATCTACAATCAATGCTCGTGGAAGCAGCAGTCAAGAAATCAAAGGACATATTGAACTGGACAAATCTGCTGCAAAAGACCTCTTTAAAGTGTTAAAGAGTAAAGATGTTGTTCTTATTAGGTGCCATAGAGTCGGTACCGACTCATAGCGATCCTATGCTCAATAGAACAACCCCCTGCCCGATCCTGGGCCAACCTCACTATTGTTGCCAAGCTTGAGCCCATTGATGCTGCCACTTTGCCAAACCATCTCGCTGGGGGTCTTCCTCTTTTTATCTGACCCTCAACCTTACCAAACATGATATCCTTCTCCAACGACTGGAGAATATGTCCAAAGTATGAGAAGCAAAGTCTGGCCATCCTGGCCTTCGAGGAGCACTCTGGCTGCACTTCTTCCAACGCACATACGTTTGTTCTATGGGCAGCCCATGGCACTTTCAATCTTCTCCTCCAACACCATAACTCAAAAGCATCAATTCTTCTACTGTCTTCCTTACTCACTGTCCAGCTTTCACATGTAAATGAGGTTATTGAAAATACCATGCCTTGGGTCAGGCACACCTTAGTCCTCAAGCTGACATCTTTGCTCTTCAACACTTTAAAAAGGTCTTATGCAGCAGATTTGCCTAATGCAATATGTCGTTTGATTTCTTGGCTGCTGCTTCCTTGAGTGTTAGTGGTTGATCCAGGAAGAATGAAGTCCTTGACAACTTCAATCTTTTCTCCACTGTTTATTGGCCCAGTGGTGAGGATTTTTGTTTTCTTTACATTGAGATGTAATCCATACCGAAGGCTGTGCTCTTTGATCTTCATCAGTAAGTATTTTAAGTCCTCTTCACTTTCAGCAAGCAAAGTTGTATCATCTATATAGTGCAGGTTATTAATGAGTCTTCCTCCAATCCTGATGCCACATTTTTCTTCTTAGAACCCAGCTTCTCAGATTATTTGCTCAGCATACAGGTTGAATAAGTATGGTGAAAGAATACAACTCTTTCACACACCTCTCTTAATTTTAAACCATTCAGTGTTCCCCTGTTCTGTTCTAACAACTGTCCATGTACAGATTCCTCATGAGCACAATTAAGTGGCTTACCATCCACTCCTGGAGTAAAGATGAGGATGGCATTATGTTGCAAACTTTATTCAAAGTTGCATGTACTCATCATTTTCTTTTCCAAATGTCTAGATTATGTCTCTGTTAACTTTGATTTAATTCTTGTTTTCAATCAACTTTCATGAGTTAAAAATATATAGTTACTGCATTCTTTTGAAGTGTACAATTTGATGAGTGACAGATATGAACCTTCTATCACCTCCAGAAGTTCAACTACACCATCTCTCCTACTCCTCCACCCCAGTCAACAATTCATCTGTCTTCTGGCACTATAGTTTAATGTTCATTTTTAAAAATCTGACTTCTTTTTCACCATAGTGATTTTGAGGGTCATCTATGTTGTGTATATCACTATTCTATTCTTTTTTCCTAGTTGCTGTTAAGTTGATTCCAGCTCATGGCAACCCTATGTGGATCAGAGTATTACTTTGTGGTCCATAGAGCTTTCTTCAGTAGCTGATTTTTTGCAAGTAGATCAACAGGCCTTTCTTCCAAAGTGTCTCCTGGTGGACTTGAACTGCCAACATTTGGTTAGTAGCTGGGCACATTACCATTTGCACTACCCAGACTCCTATCTTTTTCATTGCTGAGAAATATTCCGTTCTACAGAGATACCTCATTTTGTTTATCTACTTGCCTGTTGATGGGCATTGAGTTGTTTCTACTTTGGGACTATTATAAATAAAGCTGCTATGAACATTTATATACAAATATTTATCTGGAATGCTTTCATTTCTCTTGGGTCAATACCTAGGAGTGGAATGGCCGAGTCATAAGGTAAGCATATCTTTTTAAACTTTTCAAGAAACTCAATCCACTTTCCAAAGTGGTTTACCATTTCACGTTATGAAAACTGAGTGCTCCACATCCACAAACTTAGGAAAAGATCTGATTGTTCTATAGTCATGTAGCTACCTGTGCTAGACAGACTATTAAGGTAGCCTCCATGATCCCCATTGCCTGGCGTTTATGCCACTTTGTGATCCCCTATCCTTGAGTATTGGAGTTCTGGTGTGGTGCTGTGGGTTAATGCACTGGACTGCAGAGTCAGTCTGAACTGCAAGGACAGTGATTCAAGCACACTAGCAGCTCCTCGGAAACCCTAATACAGGGTCGCTATGGGTGGGAACTGACTTGACGGCACTTAACAACTCTTGAGTATGTGCAGGAACTAGACTTGCTATAACTACACCTACTTCTCACTTAAATCAAAATGGTTAGGTTCCAAAGACAAGGTTGTTATGTGAAATCAGCATTCTTCTAATTGGAGGATGACCACATTAGGTCACAAATAGAGGGTGACTAGATCGTTACAAAATACTAAGAATCATGGTCCAGCCAAGTTGATCCATAACCTTAATCATCACAGCCTCTAATCTTTCACTTTGTTGTTCGTTGCTGCCAGATGTCCGTACATTAATGAACAAAAATAGATTTTTTACTGTGGTCATCAATGCAAAATGTCAGACAGCATACAGCAAAGATAATGGGAGGTATGTGATTGTTGTTGTTGTTGTCAGGTGCCATCGAGTCGGAACCGACTCAGCGACCCCATGCACAGCAGAACAAAATAATGTCTGATCCTGGGCCAACCTCACTACCGCTGCCACACTTGAGTCCATCAATGATGCCACTTGGCCAATCCATCTCGTTAGGGATCTTCCTCTTTTTCTCTGACCCTCCACCTTACCCAGCATGACATCCTTCTCCAGCGACTGTTTCCTCCGGACAATATGTCCAAAGTAGGAGAAACGAAGCTTCGCCATCCTGGCCTCCAAGGAGCTCTCTGGCTGTGCTACTTCCAAAACAGATCTATTGGTTCTTTTGGCAGTCCATGGCACTTTCAGTATCTCCTCCAACACCACAACTCAAAGGCATCAATGCTTCTACAATCTTCCTTATTCACTGTCCAGCTTTCTCATCCATATGAGGCTATTGAAAACACAATGGCCTGGGTCAGGCGCACCTTAGTCCTCAAGCTGACATCTCTGCTCTTCAATACTTTAAAAAAGTTCCTGTGCAGCAGATTTGCCCAATGCAATACGTCGTCTGATCTCTTGACTGCTTCTTCCGCGAGTGTTGATAGTTGATCCAAGAAGAATGAAGTCCTTGACAACTTCAATCTTTTCTCCATTTATAAGAATGTTGTTTATTGGTCCAGTGGTGAGGATTTTTTGTTTTCTTGACATTGAGATGTAATCCATATCAAAGGCTGTGCTCTTTGATCTTCATAAGTAAATGTTTCAAGTCCTCTTCATTTTCAGCAAGCAAGGTATGTGATTACACACACATAATTATGTGATTAAGTTACATAAGGTTATGAAGCCCATCTTGCTAGTGTCTCTCCCTGACTGGCTATGAGGAAGCAAGTAGCCATTTGGGGGAGCCCCAATTACAAACAGCATCTAGTCAGTGAGGGCTGAGTTTCCAGCTGACATCCAGCAAAAACTGAAGCTCTTTGTCCTACAACCAGAAGGAACTGAAGCTTCTAACAACCAGGTGAGTAGGGAAGCTTCTAACAACCTCCAGATGAGACCAACCCTGGCCAATACCTTGATTGAAACCTTGGGAGACCCATAGCAGAGCAGATGGCCTAGTAAATCATGCTTGGATTACTGATAATAAATGTATGTTGTTTTAAACTACTAAATTTGTGGTATTGTTACACAGCTATAGAAAACTAATACCATCAAAACTGGTTTTAAACCTGGTATGGCGCTGGAGGATAATTCTTAAGTTTGCAAGGTCAGTTTGAACCACAAGATTGGTGGTTCAAACCCACAAGCCACTCCTCAGAAACCCTATACAAGGTCAATATGAGTCAGAACCGACTCAACGACACTTAACAACAATCAGGGACATCTTACCTCAGTGAATGCTCTTTTGTAAACCAAGCAATCAGGGTCTGCCCTTTGCTTCTGAAAGTCAGTTGGACAAATCTACTGCAACAGTCATGCCTCAGAGGGTCAACCAATCAACAATAACCTCATCCAAGTAACTAGACGTCTACAAATGGTATCAGCCTGCTTATGTCCTTCAATCCCTAAACTCTACACTTCCTAAAGACCTGATTGAGATCAGCTGTCTACTCTGTTTGGCGAGCGTGCTTGTATTCTCTTGTTATGATGTTCTTGTTGCTAACTGCTATTAAGTTGAAACAATAAATTCAACTTTGTCTTCCTATTTCAGATATTGAATTGTAGTCTCATCATCCTTTGACAGTTCTGGAGGTTCTACCAAGATCACTTGGAAGACCTTTTCTTGGCAGCATTCCTGTAACCCTCAGACCAACAGGTGCACTTACTAGACCTCTGGTACCCAAATTTGTTTGTCCTTAACTTCTGCCAGGAGAGTTAGTCTCAACAGTAATTTGAATTCTGACTAGTTTCACTGAGCTCTTGTTACTGAATTTATTTTTTTATATGGTGATTTGTAACCAAATATGTTTTT